AATTCTAGATTCAATTGTGTTCTTAATTTTGTATTTATTTTAATTTTGGCCCTCAATAATTTGAATGTTATCAACGTCGATTTTAATGTTCTTTGAAGTTTTTTATTTGTAATTTTATTTCATTTATTTTTTGTATCTGATTTGATTCTCATTCTTTTTTATCGTTATTTTTTTATTTTTTTAATCATTGTTTTCAATTTTCCCCTCTATATTTCATTTCATTGAAATTTTATATCCAATTTTTGTCTTTATTCTTTGTAATACCATTTTTTTTATCTATTTTGTTTTTTAAATTTGATCCCTAATTATTTCATTTCATTTAGTGTTTATACCATCTTTGAACTTTGTGAATTTTTTGCTTTTTTTGTTGGGATTTCTTAAGTGCAGGTTAGTCAAGTTAACTTGGGTTTTTTTCAACTTTTATTTTTTTATTCGTCTAACTTCATTATTTTTTTCAAGGTCTTTTTTCAAAAAAATTCTTATCTTATCTTATATTGCACATTGCGAGTTAATCAAGTTAACTCGGGTTGACATGAGTTTTTTTCTAAAATTTTTTTTCAATCTTATTGTTTTACATTAGGTTATCGTGCAAGCCCCATTTAACATCTATATTAAAGACAAGCTTAGATATTATGTAAAATAAGGATTAATGATATTGTTGCAAAAAATAAATGAAAAGTAAGAGAAACATACGTCGAATAAGGAAACGACCCGTAGAATTTCATAAGATGATGGATAGAAATTATAGATGAAAGGAACAAGAAATTTTGGATTTTTGACAAAAACCCTGTATGGACTAGTTTTACAGTTTAGGGCATAACTACTAATTTGATTGTAAGATCTGACGTTTTAAATAAGACCTTTTGACATGTTATTCTACTCAGGATTAACATTTCATATCAAATAAAGTTTGGGAAAACCTTATAATAAGATTATCCATTGAATTAAAATAAGGCTGAACTATGAACTTTGAATAAAAATCCGTAATGTTGGTAAAAAACAATATCCTGAAAAATAAAAAAGACTATAAAAATAATAAAATTATATAAAAAAATAAACGGGGAAAGAAAACATCATGGCATATAATTTAAGAAAATTCAAATTTATGGAAGTTAGATTTGGTATAAATAGATGTTGGAATCAGGAGAAAATTTACTTAGCAAGTCAAAAGATCTATGATAACATTTCATATCAAATAAAGTTTGGGAATCAAATAAAGTTTGTGAAGGCCTTATAATAAGATTATCCATTAAATTGAAATAAGGCTGAACTATGATCTTTGAATAAAAATCCGCAATGTTGGTAAAAAACAATATCCTAAAAAATAAAAAAGACTATAAAAATAATAAAATTATATAAAAAAAGAAACGGGGAAAGAAAACATCATGGTATATAATTTAAGAAAATTCAAATTTATGAAAGTTAGATCTGGTATAAATAGATGTTGGAATCATGAGAAAATTTACTTAGCAAGTCAAAAGGTCTATGGAAAAGGATATAAATGGAATTAATAAATTTATTGCATGTATATATGGCTTTCATTGGCCATTCTATGGAAAAATAAAAAGAAGAAGAAGAATTGAGAAGTGTCGAGAGAGAAAAAGAATGAGATTTGAAGGGAAAAACTTAGAAAAAAATCATAAAATTAAGAAAAAATCTTGAGTTTTTAGATTCCTCCATCTTAAACATAAGAAAAATAGAATAAATCAAGTGGGGGAAAGGAAAAACAAAAGGAGGATGGGATGAAAAATAAAGAAAAATAAAGAAAAAGAACTTTGGGTGAGCATAAAAAGATCAAATTATTACTAGGTATGATATGTCAAATGTTCAACCAGTTTATTTCCAAGTTTGATTTATTTTTGATAAATTTATTAAGTTTTAAGGATTAGGGTTTTTATGTGCAATTAAAAAGATTTAACATTAGTTAATAATTATTGTCAATGATTAAGAAATAATGAGAGAAAGGAATAAATTTTATTAAAATGAAGTGAAAATCATGATGAATTTCTTAGGTACATGGCCAGCCAAAAAAAAAAAAAGATCATGATGAATTTCTTAGGTACATGGCCAACCAAAAAAAAAAAACAAAATTGAGATTGTAATAATGTGTTTGAATCTTATGAAACTGTGTAGGATTAATAATTGTAATTGTGATAAAAATGGATTTGAATTTATATATATTAAGTGTAATGATTTAGAGCATTTAATGAAAATTAAAACTAAGGGAGATGGAAGGATATTGTTATTCTAAATAAGTAATAAAATGGAAAATGTGAAATTAGAATTAAATTAAAGATTTATATTCCTTGTGGTTAAATGATATGATGAAACTTTATTGAATCAAGAGAGCATGTGGGTGTGACATCGTAACTAGGAGGAGTTGGAGCATCGTAAGTGACAGATAGATATCTTATCACCTCACTCGAATATTTATAATTTTATTATTCTTTTGTGTTGATTATGATTAATGTAGTTCACATGTTTTTTGCAACTATAAGATATTTTTGGAAACAAGATTATTTTAAGATTTTAAATGGATTTATTGGGTGTCAAAGAAAGTTAGTTAGCTTATTGATAATCGTGTGGATCACCAAATTTATTGACTGTCGGAAAAAGTTAGTTAGCTTATTAATAATTATATAGGTTACTAGGTTTATTAGCTACCGAGAAGGATAAGTTGGATTATCGACTAGGTTTATTAGCTACCGAGAAGGATAAGTTGGATTATTGGTAATCATGTGGATTATCCATAATCATATGGATTATCAAATTTATTGTTTTCTAGAAGGTAAGTTGAATTATTGATAATTATGTGGATTATTGAATTTATTGGCTATCAAGAGAGGTAAGTAGAATTATTGGAAATCATGTGAATTACCTAATTTATTGTTTAGTAGGAGAGGTTAACTAAATTGTTGGAAATTGTGTGAATTACTAAATTTATTAACTACCGTGAGAGGAATTGTGTGAATTACTAAATTTATTAACTAGCGTGAGAGGTTATCTCTTTCTCTCTCTCTATATATATATATATAATAATAATAATAAGTTTAGTAAAAAAAATTAATTAGCATTAAAACTCTTGATGTATGGTGTGAGTGTTGTTACATATTAAGTCTTGAGTTTTGTAATTTTTTTTTTATTTTTTATAGAGTTATCCTGATCTTGTATCATCGATCATATAGTAATTAAGTTATTTTAGATTGACTTGGGTTATCAGTACAGGTTGATCCTTTTTTAAAGTTAGGAAAAAATTGACCCGACATGCAGCATAGCGCGTGTGATCTATATATTAATTTATATAATAATATTGTTTTTTTTTTAAATGAAGGGAAAAATAGTTAAAATTATTAATTTAATTAATTTCCATAAATACTTCAAATAATAAATTTGAATTTAATTATATGGTTTGATATACCTATTTTAAATATAAAAAATTATAATAAGTTATAATTGAATTCAAATCCAATCGGTTTGATTATAAATAAGGTGCGTAAATAGAGAATTTTCTTTTTGCAAGTAATTAATAGGTTAGAGCAAACACCATTTCAAAGAGAAAATAAAAAAAAATTCAACCACATCTGCAAACGGTAACCGTCATGATGGAAACGTATAGCAATCTTCTGGTGTATATCATTATATATCCATCTAAAGGCATTGCTTTGTCACCATAAGGTTGCAGCCATCAGACGGTGTAGATGATGGAATGTGGTTGTAATTATTTATAATTTTTTTTAAATATATTAAAATAATATTTTTTTATTTTTTAAAATAATATTTTTTATATTAGCATATCAAAATATCTGAAAAAAAAAATTAAAGTAAAGAAAAAAATAAAATATTTAAATTTTTTTAAAATACTTTCAAAAAAACAAAAATAAATAAGGCAATTAACTGCATTTTCTTTAATAATAATTATAATAATATAAAAAAAATTCTCTATCATATTCTGGTAACAAGATTTTATTGATTCTCGACTTATTTATTTTAGAAGTAATCAACACATTTCAATAAAATTAACTATTTATTTGATATTCTATTTTGAATGAAAATTGGATAAAATTTAAATTTTTGAATCATTTTAATAATATTAAAAATAATTTTTTAAATATATTTTTAAATAAAAATAATTATTTTAACCATTTTAGATAGCTATAAAATTATTTTACAACTAGAACCGGTAACTCACAATCAACACGTGAAAGAAACAAAAGAAAGGGTAAAACCATTTCCCATCACACATTCCAATTCATGTCGAGAGTGGAAGATAATTAAAACAGGCTCTTCGTTTCCAGTTTTCATGGCAGCCGTGTATTCCACTGTGATCCCAGCTCATACTGGGTGCCAAATGACGCCCCAATCACCAATCACCAGCTCCCAGGGGTCTGGCAAAAAAGATATCTTTCCGCCCTGCAGAGAAAAGATCCCTTTGCATTATTACTACTGTCACAGACAAGTGTTCGTTTCATATTTTCATATGGTTCAAGTCCCAAAGCTCTTTCACGCTCACAAGCTCACCCCCTCATTACAAGGATGCCCAAGTTAGTCCCCAGAACATGTCTGCTTCTCTTGTTAGGTCTCTAAGTTAAGCATGTTCCCGATTAAGTACAATATCTCAGAATTTCCTTATTGGTGCAAATGTTCCTCAAAATATCATCATTTTATTGCATAAAATTAAGAATTTCTGTAAGAAAATTATTAAATCTCATCATATCCTTCATCAATCTCATCAAACGCATAGTTTACTGGTTTAATGAATTAGCCATCCTAGTGGAGAAAATTATTAAAAAAACCGATCGAATTATTTCATGGTTATAGCGATTTGGAATTTCTAATACATTTCCAGAATTGATTAAGGAGATTTCAGTGTGAGGATTTAAATGATAATTTATTGATAGTTTAGGGACTGATTCTCAGCTTTGTCTCCTCCTTATTCATGCCGCTGATCCATTTTTCATGCAAGAGGACATCACCATCAGATTGTCACAGTCAAATCAGAGACTCCCCACGTGGACCCCTCAAAACTATTATTAACCGTCCGTACATTCATGCGGCCTCACCTGCCTGTCATCCTCTACCAATCTACTATCACAGTTTGCATTTTGGGCCCGCTTGATTCCACTGCATCTTCTACGAAGATTGTATTCATCTATCACTCTCTCCCAAGTCAGCCTGCTCTTCTCTCCTCCCTCTCTCCGTTTTTGGATAATTGAAGCTGTCGTAAGAGTTAATCACACTTTTTCTCTAAAATCTTAATATGTTATGCTCTACAGTGGTTCTTGAATAAAAAGCTTGAAGCTTTTGAGGGTTAGGTGTGTGAAAGTTCAAGACTTCTTGTTTGGTTGATGAGAAAACCTTTTAAAACTGATAGAAAGATTGAATCTTGATTCTTGAATCTTCGTTTTTTTTTTTCCCGAAGAAAGAGGGAAAAACCCATCTCTGTTTTTACAAAATTTCTCTTACATGCATTGAGTTTGGTTGTTTCTGGTGAATTTCATTGCAGGTTGTTTGCACAAGGCGTTAAGCCCAAAGTTGTGTGTTTTGTCTTTGGCAAAACATCCGACAAATGTCCAGTCTTGATGGAGATGTGTCTCAAAATGGGAGCTTGAAGAGTGTCGATGCCCATCATGCTTTGGCTGAAATAGAAGATTTGGATTTCTCAAGGAGCTTAGATAAGCCACCAAGGCCTTTGAATATGGAGAGGCAAAGATCATGTGATGAGAGGTCCCTAAATGAATTGTTTGGGGTGCCTTTGCTTTCTCCGCGTCCCTCATCAAGAGCCGAGAGTAACTTCAGGTTAATTGATCATCTTGATGGTTTATATTCCCCTGGTAGAAGGTCAGGATTCAATACTCCAAGGTCACAATATGGGTTTGAGACACATCCAGCTGTGGCTGAAGCTTGGGACGCTTTGAGGAGATCGTTGGTTTTTTTTCGTGGCCAACCTGTTGGAACCATAGCAGCTTTGGATAATACTGGGGAACAGCTTAATTATGATCAGGTGAAGGCTCCATGATTTTTGTTACAGCTTGTAACATGATAATAAATTTTGTTTATCAGGGTATTAACTAACTAGAGACAGGCCTTTTGTTGCTAGTGGGTGGTTGCCGATTTTGTTTGGCCGTTCACCCGATCACTTTATTCGGAGATGTATTGGGGTGTGCTTTTTTTTTTCCCCTCATTGTTCTGCCTTTCGATTATCCCTTTGTCTATAATGTGCTTATGTTTCGTGTTCCAAAGTTAACTTTCATACCACTCTGTTCTTTTTCCATATGTGTTCCGATATTGTAACATGATAATGACTTTCTTGCGTTTGTAACTGGGATTGTAGGATCCCGTAGGCTTTAAAGCTTGTACATTAACGTAGTTTCTCTATTTACATAGGTGTTCGTAAGAGATTTTGTCCCAAGTGCATTGGCTTTTCTGATGAACGGCGAACCTGAAATAGTAAAGAATTTTATTTTGAAGACTCTTCGCCTCCAATCATGGGAGAAAAAAATTGACAGATTCCATCTTGGAGAAGGAGTTATGCCTGCGAGTTTTAAGGTACTCCACGATCCTGTCAGGAACAGTGAGACTTTGATGGCAGATTTTGGTGAGAGTGCAATAGGAAGAGTGGCTCCCGTTGATTCTGGATTTTGGTGGATTTTCTTACTTCGAGCATACACCAAGTCCACAGGCGACACATCATTGGCTGAAATGCCAGAATGTCAGAAGGGTATGCGCCTAATTTTGAGCTTATGCCTTTCAGAGGGGTTTGACACATTCCCTACTCTTCTTTGCGCTGATGGATGCTGCATGATTGATCGCAGGATGGTGAGTTTCTTTGTTTACTGTCTGCTTGGACTATATTTAATGTTGTGCTTGTTGCCATGTTCATCCTTTGTTTATTTTTCAACATTTATTGTGTCTTTGGTATATCTTTCAGGGTGTTTATGGGTATCCCATTGAAATTCAAGCACTTTTCTTCATGGCTTTAAGATGTGCTTTGCTTCTACTGAAGCAAGATGAGGAGGGGAAAGAGTTTGTAGAGCGGATCACTAGACGCCTTCATGCCTTAAGTTTTCACATGAGGAGTTATTATTGGATTGACTTGAAACAGCTTAATGATATATATCGTTATAAAACAGAGGAATACTCTCATACTGCAGTTAACAAGTTTAATGTAATTCCCGATTCTCTTCCAGAATGGATATTTGATTTTATGCCAGTCCATGGTGGCTACTTTGTTGGAAATGTTAGTCCTGCAAAAATGGACTTCCGTTGGTTTTGCCTGGGTAACTGTATTGCAATCTTGTCATCCTTGGCAACCCCTGAGCAATCGACAGCGATAATGGATCTTATAGAATCACGGTGGGAGGAATTGGTTGGAGAAATGCCACTCAAGGTAATCTATCCAGCGATAGAGAGTCATGAATGGCGGATTGTTACAGGATGTGATCCAAAAAATACTAGATGGAGTTACCACAATGGAGGATCCTGGCCAGGTATGCTACTTGCACTGCATTTTCCTTTGCGCAAAACAAATTCATAATGTAACTAAAACTGCCATGGCTTTTTTGGTTGATTGCGAGTCAGGCCTGAATAATTCATTTGATAAAACAAGGCCGGAAATGTTTAACTTTGGTGCTGTGCCATGGCTTGAATTTTTATCAAATCAGCATTTACATGAATTTGCCCTGGTGAAATGCTGAATGCTAATCCCAAATACGTCTAGCAAAAGTTTCATGTTCTTATGAGCAAAAATATAAAACAAGAAAAAGCTTTTTGAGTGCCCCGTTTTTTGTTGGAAGTACACTGGTGGAAAATCTTATCCGATGTGCGTGTGAATTCTTCAGAGAGCTTTAACTATTCTTTATGCAATTTTTCGTGAGTATTGGCTTTGGATGGGAATAATAGCTAGTATATTCCGTGTCTATGCTATTAAAGGCTGTTCATGTCATTTCTATTCCTGCTTAAAATCGTCATCATTATATTTTGCCAACTATGATGAACTCTTTGAAATATTTATGAACAATTCCAATTCCATTTCTATGTAACTCTTTGAACTTCCTTGTTGAGATTATTATCTTTGAAACATTTTGGCTATTGCAACGGATGCAGTGCTCTTGTGGCTTCTCACCGCAGCATGCATCAAGACCGGACGCCCCCAAATTGCAAGACGTGCCATTGAGCTCGCTGAGACAAGATTAGTTAAAGACAACTGGCCAGAATATTATGATGGAAAGCTTGGTCGATTCGTTGGGAAACAGGCTCGTAAATTCCAGACCTGGTCCATTGCAGGTTACTTGGTTGCAAAAATGTTGTTGGAAGACCCTTCTCATTTGGGTATGCTGGCACTCGAAGAAGACAAACAAATGAAGCCTCCCATGAGAAGATCACATTCATGGACATTCTGATGTAACTTGTCTAGCATTTCTACATACCCCAATCTATTCTCAGATAGGGCTAGATCGTCTCTTCTGACCCACAGTTCTACTTCCCATTTTGATCATGTCTTCTGCCTTTCCATCTGTTCAATGCCGGAATACTTTTTTTCAATCTTGCCGTAGTAGTTCCATGCAAATCTTAATGAATCTTAATCCTTAAATGTTTTCCTATCATATTCTATTCAGGAGTTCTAACGTATAGCTCATGTGAAGCCTGGTTTGGTGGTGAATTTATGATGCATGGGGTCCAAAGTGATTACCTCCGTTTTTTATGTCTTAATTAGACCATGGCTTGAACACCTTGGTGTACACGATATACACCTTGGTGTCCACGATATGTCAGCTCCAGACATTGACTTGCTCTTATTATTTTCCAATCTGATTTCAAGAAACGTTGTTTTTCCTGGAAGGGAATCGCACGCGGTCCAACGTTGTTCTAATTGAAGCCTCCATTTTTAATTTATTAATTATTGAGTCCTTCCATATGGGAATTACAGGCATCCACCTGCACTGTCAACGATTAAAACATGGTAAATTAGTCAAGACACTTTTGTTTTTTAGTACAGTTAAATTACTTTATTATTCTTGAAAATAAAAATATATATGCTTTTAGTTAGGGCCTTTTTTCTTTCTTTTTATTTGAACGGTAAAGTTACATGATTGCCTTTCAAAACCAGGTTGTTTTCAATTGTTTTTTAGTCCTTTTCTTCTAATTTTTCTTTTGTTATTTTAGGTTTACTTAGGGTTTCTTTTGTAATTTTAATAAATTAAATAATATTAAAAAAAGTTGGGTCATCTGGCTATCAAATTTTGCTATCTTGGACGATGTTAAGAACGAAGTGTTGTTTTCTTTCTAAAGGTGTGATGTATGCTTGTGGTGAAAGCAGGATTGGCTTTCGACAGTTTTTTTCTTTTCTTTCTCCTTATTTAAAAATTTTAAAAATATTTATGTTCTCATGCTTCTATATTTATGAATTTTAATTTTAATTTTTTTTTTACTTTTAAAGGTTTTTGTTTTAAAAAATTTAATTTCATCTGTGTGAATTTTATTTAATTTTATCCAATTTGGTCTTTATTCTTTTAATTATTCTTTTTTGATATTTTATTATTTTCTTGATTTATTTTTTGATCTTCATTCTTTTAATTACTCTTTTTTGATATTTTATTAAATATCAAAAAAGAGTAATTATTTGTTAATTTGTTAATTTCATCTCTCATCATTTAATTACATTTATTTTTTTAATTCAATTTTGGTTCTTATCCTTTTTATTGCTATTTTCTTATATTTTTTTAATTCTTTTTTTTGTTCTTCAACATCTTATTTGATTTAGTTCCTCATTTTTTTTGTTGCTATTTTTTTCTTATTTTATTTTATTTTTTAATTTAATTCCTAATTATTTTTTTATTTAGTTTTTATACCATATTTAATACATGATGTTTGGATTTTAAATTATTTTGTGATGAGAAAATTTACGTTGTTTTTTTGTTGTGTATGCTTTTCTATAAGGTAATTCTGGTCTCATAACCCTGATCCAATTTAAGTTTATTTTTTTATCATTTTATTATTTTTTTAAATTTATTATTTGATATTTAGGTTATTACACCTTGAACTTCATTATTTGTTCTATTTTTTTTTATTGGGTTATCATAGTCTAATATTTTAAGTTATATGTTAACCGAGTTAACTAGGGTTAACTTGAATTTTTATTTTAAAAATATTATTTTTATTTTCAATTTTATTCTTTGGTATTATATTATTAGCCTATGACTTTTGTTAATTGTATGTTTTTTTTTTTGTAGGGTTATTCTGGGTGCAAGTTAGTCAAGATAACCTGGGTTAGCTTGGATTTTTTTTCATATTTTTTTAATTTTATTGATTTTTTATTTTTATCATTTGACATTAAATTATTATACATTAGGCTTTATTATTTTTTTGCTTTTCTTTCTATGAGCTTATTCCAAACATATGTTAACAAGTTAATCTAGATTAACTCATATTTTTTTAATGTTTTTTTATCACTTTAGTCTTTTTTACTATGTCCTTTTTTTTATAGTCTTATTTTTTTATATCCTGATTTTATATCATGAGTTGTTGGTTAGTTAGATTAATTTAGATTTTTTTCTTTAATTCTATTATTTTTTAAATTGATTTTTTTGTTTTAACATTTGACATTAGACTATTGAATCTTGAACTTTATATTTTTTTATATTAATCTAGATTAGCTCATATTTTTTTAATGTTTTTTTTTTTTTCAAACTTTAGTCTTTTTTACTAGGTCCTTCTTTTTATAGTCTTATTTTTTTATATCCTGATTTTATATCATGAGTTGTTGGTTAGTTAGATTAACTTAGATTTTTTTCTTTAATTCTATTATTTTTTAAATTGATTTTTTTGTCTTAACATTTGACATTAGACTATTGGATTTTAAACTTTGTATTTTTTTTATAAGTTATTTTAATTTTATATTCAGAATCATATATTAATAAAATTAACATAAATTGATTTATGTCCTTCTTTTTATAGTCTTATTTTTTTATATCCTGATTTTATATCATGAGTTGTTGGTTAGTTAGATTAATTTAGATTTTTTTCTTTAATTCTATTATTTTTTAAATTGATTTTTTTGTTTTAACATTTGACATTAGACTATTGAATCTTGAACTTTATATTTTTTTATAAATTATTTTAATTTTATATTCAGAATCATATATTAATAAAATTAACATGAATTGATTTAGATTATCATTACCTTAGCTTTTTCTTAATGGTATGAAAAGTTCGATCATAACCGCGACAAAGCGTAAATCATCTATGCAGTCATTACTAGTTCCCAAATGCTGAAAAATACAATTAAACATTTGGATTAAAATAAATCTGTCTAAAAGATTTATTATCTGCTACTTAGATTTTTTTAAGTGTATTGATTAAGTAACAAAATCAGAGTCATTGTTTCTTTTAAGATCAATGAACATATATAAGAAACTAAACTTCATTTGGTGCTGACAACTTTAAATTATAGAGTGATTACCGTCAAACACAGTAAATCTGATGGTAGAATCCATGCATGTTAATATTCATGTTACATGTTCGAGTATTATATTTCATTGTACAGGGCTGCTATTTTCTTTTTTTTTTTTAAATTAATGTGGGTGTCCGGGCCAGCTTGCGCGCACCACAACTAATCCCACGGGCCCTGAAGTTAACGACAATGTAAGCCTCAAGTGGCCATCATATGAGCAACCAAGGACTCGAACCTGAGACCACAGAGGGAGCAAATCTCTTGATCCCAAGTCTTTATCACTTAGCCACCACCTAGATGGTTACAGGGCCGCTATTCATTGTTCAACATCTGTCATGCTTTTAAAGCACAGAGTCGAATCCATCGTTTTGTCGAAGAAACACGTAATTGTATTTAATTAAATCAACATTTATAATACGTTTTTATCAAATTGAAACCTCCAATTGTAATTTATTAATAATTAAGCACTTGCATAGCAGTAATTGTCTATGAACTTGTATGTTCTTATAACTTCAATTCCATGGTAATAAGATAATGTTGAATTGCTGTAAATTTTGCTGGTGAAAACAGTAAATTTAAAATAACAATCAATCAAAACACTTCATTGAGTTCAGATGAAAATCTAATGAGATTAATCGAGAAAAGTTTGAATATTTATTCATGCAAAGGGAGTAGATGTCAGCTTGAATTAGAAATAGAATATATAAGCTGACTAATACTAAAGCACAGGGGTTGATTTGATCAGCTATTGAAACTAAAGTGACTGCATAAAACTTCGCAACCCCCCACCAGAGAGGAAAGAAAAATGAAAAGAAAAATCCCCTCCCTCTTTTAAATCTCCCTCAAACAGTCAAGCCCTCATTTCCCCTCAATTACTCTCAATTTCCATCACTTACTCAGGAGGATCAAATCGAATTCTACGATGAGACCACCGAAGAGACCGATCCAAGTGGTAACAACATGGGTGCGACGACAACCTCCGAAGGTCAAGGCGTTCTTGGCGGTGGTGGCGGGGATGACAGCGCTGGTGCTTCTCCGATTCATCGTACACGATCACGATAACCTCTTTGTGGCTGCTGAGGCTGTTCACTCCATTGGAATCTCTGTGCTTATTTATAAGTTAATGAAAGAGAGAACTTGTGCTGGTAATTAAACGGAATCTCAAACTATTAGGGTTTTAATTTTTTTTTTCACAGGGGTTGTTAATTAGAGAGAAATTTTTAATTTTTGCGTTAAATCTTCGATCTTTTCTGTTGTGCTTAAATGATATAATGGTTTTTTTTTTATTAATGTGTCGATTGTTTCATGGGAAATGTTCCGATAGAGGGAAAATCGGATTCTGGTGCTAAATTTCAGGTCTTTTTTGGTTGAGCAATGATTTAATGGTTATATATTTCTTGGTTTTGAATTGAATTTTTTCTTTCATTGTTATTGCTTTTGTTTGGAATTGATGGTATTAAAGAGAGCTGGGATTATTGTGCTAAATTTTGGGTTTTCTTTTGTCGTGTTTCAATGATTTTGTGACTTTATCTTTGGTAAAATTTTGGATTTTATTTTGTTTTCTATGGATAAACTTGTTTTTTTTTTTTTTTTGACGGGGAACTAATGTAATTACAGAGAAAGTTTGGATTTTTCCGTTAAATTTTGGAACTTGTTGTGGTTATACCTTTCAGTTTTTGGATTCAAAGTTCTGGCTTGTAACATTATTTTGAATATTTTGCAGGGCTATCACTGAAAACTCAGGAGCTGACAGCCATGTTCTTAGCTGTGAGGCTGTACTGCAGCTTTGTAATGGAATATGATATTCATACCGTACTGGACTTGGCAACGTTGGCTACAACCCTGTGGGTTATTTATACGATCCGTTTTAAACTGAAGTCGAGTTACATGGAGGATAAAGACAACTTTGCATTATATTATGTGGTGAGTATTTGATTAACTCTACCCTTTTTTTTTTTTGGTAAATGTAGTTATATTTATGGTTTCTTGATAGGAAAGAGTTCTTATAAAAAATGAACTTGTACGATGTTTTCCTCAATTTATTCTTCCCATCAATATTCACACTATATAACGGTAATGTCTCCTTTATGCTTCTTTGTTCATGTTCATGGCAATGACATGCTCTTACGATACTACCCACATACTTGTGGATGAAATTTTCTGGTTGCCAAACTTCATATTCTTTCTTTCATGCTAACTAGTTCCCTTTCTCTCTATAATGAATATGGGATATGGATTAATCGATAATGATTATACCTTTAACTCTTACCCTTCAACTGAATTTGGATGCAGGCGGCACCTTGTGCTGTTTTAGCTTTGCTTATTCATCCATCAACTTCTCACAATCTACTGAACCGGATCCTCTGGGCATTCTGTGTATACCTGGAAGCTGTTTCTGTACTTCCTCAGTTGCGTGTCATGCAGAACACGAAGGTTCGTGCTTTGGTTTCATATTGTAGAAAGTATTAGTCTAGGAGGTTTGCAAATTGAAAGTTGAAACTCACGCCTTCATTCGCTGTACTTGTAGATTGTTGAGCCATTCACAGCTCATTATGTATTTGCATTGGGTGTTGCAAGGTTCTTGAGCTGTGCCCATTGGGTCCTCCAGGTTTGTTCCTGCAGATCCGAATCTTTTGTATGGTTGCTCTTAGAATGCTTTCTGAAGGGAATGTTTGGAAAATTTCTGAACCAAGGAGCCTAAGCTTATCAGATTAGAGGTGCTTATATATATATATATATGTATATGAGCCGGGGATTTGGGGTGGGGCTAGACTCGTTCGGTTCTCTACTTGTGGGTTTGTGTTTGGTCTCTGTCGTCTTATGGAAGGGATGCCGAACCTTAAACTCTTAGTCTGTTTTTAGTGATGCTCTAAATGCTATTCATGCTTTCAGATAGCTAGCCATGTCGTGAAGTGATTTCAGAGTCATTAGAGGTCATGCAGAACATTTCCATCTCAAACAGGCATCACAAAACATGCATCTTGTTTATAATGATAAAATAATCAATTTTACTCAAGATGGTTGAATAGTGGCTGTTAATGATACTGGAATGAGCAGAAATTCTTTTTCTTCATCCCATTTACTATTGCATCATCACTCATATCCCCTGAAGTTAATACTGTTTTTGTAGGAGTTGCCTCAAAATTTTTTTGTGCCAAATACACTTCTTCCTTTTCTTTTTCTGACCCCCCTCGTTCTCTCTTATCTTTGGCTGATACAAGTATTTTCCTTTAAATTATTAACTGACTAGAGTTGCAATTTACCATTAAAGTTTTGCATCTTGTGAACAGGTTTTAGATACTCGTGGACACTTATTGGTAGCCTTGGGGTACGGATTATGGCCTTCTATGGTTCTTATCTCAGAAATTGTCCAGACTTTCATCTTAGCAGATTTCTGTTATTATTATGTGAAAAGGTTTGTTAATGTTTGGATGTCATTCTTTTATCCAAAGAGCATGTGAAACATCACTGTACAATTTTTATTGCAACATATATATGATTGTGATTTTCTTGCAGTGTATTTGGAGGGCAGCTTGTGCTTCGTCTTCCCTCTGGAGTGGTGTAATTGAAGCCAGTCTTCTGGTGTAGTCTATGAGCAAACATTGCTGCCTGAAATTGACTTGGGCAACGCTGTTGAGATCTGTTTTGCTCTCCAGTTAAGTTTCTCTTTCAAATTATGACAGGAGAAAAGTGGGTTTACTTGTAAAGTTGGGGATGCAGAAACTTGGTTGGAATTTTGTACTTGACACATAATTAATTGATGGTTAACTTAATTAATTTGTCGGCTGTAACCTTCCTTTTTGTTTATATTGTGAGAGTTGCAAATCTAGTACCTTTTATGACGTGCAAACTTACATTTCATGAGCGATCCCTGTCAAAGCTGATACAAGAGCCTGTTTTCTTGAGTAGGCTATATGAGATTTGGATAAACAGGTAGAATTGATAGAGCTATCAAGTTATACAAGGACAGTTTTGGGCCAAGAAAATGGATTTAGAACTTTTCTGCCACCAGTGTAGGAGAACAAAACATCACCATATCATATTTAGATAGTTAGGTTTCTTGCAAGAATTCCCTCGAAGGTTATTCCAGGTCCAAAAGCCAGTATCAAGCCCCAATCACAATTTGCAATGCCTGCCTTCATCTTCCTGCTCTCTTCTATCATGTACTCCAGCACGTACACAATGGTGTTGCTGCTAGCATTGCCATAATCCATTAGAGCTCTTCTACTAGCATTCAGTTTGTCAGGAAGCAAATCAAGTCTCTTTTCCATTCGATTCAAGATTGCGGGCCCGCCTGGATGGACTGCCCAAAACATCTTGTTGTAATCCTTGTCAGTTAGTCCAGCAACTCCTATCAACTTGCGGCAGAATCCTTCAATGTTTTCTTCAATTATTTGCGGAAGCTCCCTTGCTAGCTTGAAGCTGATACCCTCTTCTGTTAGCCTGCCATCAATAGTCTTTTCAGTGTTTGGCAAGAAATTCTGGATTGCTGTGTGAAGCTCAAAGAGAGGACTTTCAGTAACCGGAACTGGATCTGTGCCTATTACCATTGCCGCAGCACCATCCCCAAAGAGGGCAACCCCAACTAGATCATATGGTCTATCTACACTTGGTGGTTTGAACCCGATAATGGTAGTTTCAGAAGTAGCCAGCAAAACTCGACTTCCGGGATTGTTCTCAGCGATATCCTTGGCAACACGAAGGCCAGCCACACCTCCAGAGCACCCTGAAAAGTATAGCATAACACGCTGCGTTTCAGGGCTGAGTCCAAGGCCTCCTGCTAAGTAAAGGTCGCCACCTGGTAGCCTAGCTTCACTCGAGGAGACGTAGACCATGTGAGTTATATCTGATACAGACCTGCCCCATTTCTTGATGCAAGCCCGTGAAGCTCCAATGGCCATTCGTGTTACAGCATCGTTACAGATATCTAATCGCTGTTTGATGGTAGGGATGCCTTCAATGGCAAGTTCAGGGTATTTGTTCAGGATCTCATCTGACATGACCACATACCTCGTTTTGACGGTGGTTGTTTTGCCTGCAAGTTCCATAGAGTGAAAATGAGAGTTATGTCAGTTAGTAATTAGTGATATATTAGTAATTATATCTGAATGCACTTCGAAGAAATTGATAAAAATAAGTAGGAGAGAAATCTCAGGTGGATCTTAAATAGAAATATTCTTGAACACTTTTTATGTTCATGAATATTATTCTCTCTCATTTTCCTTTTCTTTAAAGCTAGTAAATAACTAATAGAATATCCGTGTGCTGTAAATTTAATATCCGTGTACTGTAAATTTTCCCAAGTATCAATATCCTAAATTTTGAGTTCTAGCAGATGAACTACCTAAAAAGGTGATAAGAAAAAAGAATACTCTAACCCTGTCCCCCATTGTCAAAGGTTTTGTTTGGTACAAATTGCTATGTGCAACAGATTTATTAAGCCTAAGAAGATTGTATTGTCCTTATGTCCTCTCATTTCTAGATTCAATGGGTAGCATGCATTCCCTAGTATTTATCTGGACGTGAAAAGCTGAACGAGAAAAAAGGTTTGCACAGTTACAGAGTCGAGTTAGCTTCTGCTTGAGCTCTGGATCATCGCAATTGGTGTTTCTGAAATACCCATCAACCAGAAATTCTTGCATGACTAGCTGGTGAGGAAATGCCTTGCCGAGAGCCAGAATTGTAGCTTTGCCAGGACTGGCCTTCGATGTCAAGCCTCCTTGTCCGATCTGTTCGCTCCCCATGGTTTCGCTGCTGGAAGAGATGTTGAAACTCTTGGTGGGAGATGCTAGGCAGTAACCCCTTCACTTCCCTATGAAGCAAGGTCAGGAGTCTCATATATACAGCTGCTGCATTCTATGTTGAAGTGTTAAAATAAGGTTCAGGGGATAATTGTGTTTTCATTCATGTAGTGTGATATACATAAATCTGTATTATTTTATGTAACGTAAAGGCAGTAGTTGGGAAACAACGCTTTCATGCAGATTATGTTTAAAGAAGTTGGTTGATATTTGGTGCTGGGTTTGCAAATTGATGCACTGATGTGTGCTTTCTTATAATCTATATATGCAGCCCCAAATCCTTGCATTAAAAAGAAAAGAAAAGCACTAGCCTTGTATTATTGCATCGTTCAGCTCTAGCTGCACCGTTAACATGAGCTGTACCAAAAATTGGGGAGCGAGGATACTGTGAAATCTGAATGTCAAAATCTCTATTGAAGCAAATGCAATGGATGGTCTCCACCCACCCTCCCCCCCAAAAAGACAAAAAAAAAAAACCACTCCATACGACGCAGATACCATTTTATCTTTGATGATCGCCTGATTTAATATCTAACCACTTGGATTGAAGCATATGGTTTCCACAGCCATAACCTCTAGCAAGTTATAATCAAATGCGAGTTTGCAGGGATACTTGAAGATCACAGGTGGACATGAAATAAAGATTATTCCACGAATTGCAGCCTAAAATTTTCAAGGATATGCGTGCAAATGCCAGTTCAAGCAACTGAACAAAGGCAATCTGTCATATCTGTAAATGAAATGAAGAGAACTGCCAAACTATTGAAATTCATACCAGAGCAAACTAAGATTATCATACCAGGTTCCGTTATACAAGATTGTCAGACCAAGTTCTTATGGCATTTTTTGTTGTTACAAGAAGATTCCCAGCAACAACCATCACCCAGTCAAACTGTTGGGTTAAATAGATGATGAACAGCATATCACCCTTTCGGCTGCATAACGGTATACCTAATCAAATTGTGTTGTTGGTCCCTTGGACCTCGGTTGAGAGCGTGGAAATATAAAACCAAACCATCAGACCCAGAAACATCGGGCCCTCTCAAACTATGAACTATGGCTATTTTAAGCTAAATATCACAATTCTAAACATATATTGTATCTCGTGAAACAATGGTTCATTGGATACTTCCTGACATGCATCTTCCAAAAAATCAGGCAGTGAAGGTCACATTATTTCAAAGCTCAGAGAGACACTTTCCACTGATGAAATCAACAACTTGGGCGACTGCCTGGTCAAGAGCAGCAGTCACTGCAGCCAGATTCTGCAAGAACTCCTCTGCAGTTGGCTTGTCACCATCCACTATGTCAGTCACAGCTTTTATGAATATTGCAGGGACTTTCAAAAGATCAGCCACATAAGCAACAGCAGCTCCCTGAAACCAAAAATATCATATATATTAGGAACTGAAGAAACATATATAATTTAGGAAATAAAAATGGAATTTTCATTTGATGCGTCATTCTCCCTATCATCTAAAGAGAAAGGTAGTAAGCTGCATGGATGATGAGCTAATTGCAAGAAATTCCTAACGCTGGAGAAAACCCAAAATTGCATTTTGTAACTAATAGAGGAAAATCTTGGTGGTCGTTACTCTAAGAAAAAAATGAAGTTCAAGTTCATTATGCATGAAGGTGTTCAAGATTTGATATGTATAGCTGTATACAGCATGCTGCTGTCGAAGATTGATCAGAACTTACAGAAGGATATTACATTGAAAGTAACTTGAAGTCCTGCATTTTTGTAACACTGACACTACAATAGAAAAAAATCTTAAGCATGCACCTTATCCTTGCAAGTTAAGTCTTAAATATGCATCTACCAATCAATTACAGTTCTTCTAGTCCATTAACTCAGTTCATTGGAGGACAGAGACGTTTCAGCCCCCATGTTATTAGGGAAGGATTCGACTTTACCTCCATGTCTTTAACCGTAGCATCATTTGCAACAATTGACGCTTCGTCCTGTGGGGACATATCAAGAGAGTCTCCAGTAGATAATTTCCCAACCTGAAACATGAGCATATTGTATGTTAAAATTTTTGAAGGTCAATGCAGGCTTCAAGAACAATACAGAAATTTTCCATATCATGCAGTAGTTTCAGCATAGGGAATTTATAAATGCCTTTCAAAACAACTTCTACCATTCACTGTCATCAGTTACAGATGATTTTTAACTATTTCAGAAAATCAACCTTACTATGTGAAGAAGAATGCAGCACAAGTTTAACTTCAAAGAAATGGATAGACTAGCACAGCATCACAGGCAGAGTATTCAATAAGTGGGTGCATAAACTAAACCATGTATTTCTTGCTAGAGTTTATTGATGAGACCATGTTAGAAATTTTAAGAACTAATTTTGTCAAGTTCTCCAGTCAAACCCCACTAAAACATGGTTTCTTTGTTCAGAAAACATGACTATTACGAGAGCTCCATAAGCAATAAACAATCTATTTATTGGAAACTTTTAGGATTATTTGAACTCAATCTCAGAACTGGCAAGAGCCTACAAACTGAACACTACTCCAAAAAGAAAGCATCCATCACATATAGATAAGGGATGGAACTGTTCAATAAATTCACCTTCAGGTTAAGCTCGTTCAAGAGATTAGGTGTCGAGAAAGACTGCCTCGAACCAACTCCATAGAGATCAAAAACCTACCAGGAAAAGAAAAAAAAAGGCAGAGGCAGAAAAAGATTAGGTACAGTGGTGCTACAGAAAAATACAAACAGACAAAAAGGAAATTATCATTTATAAAGCAGAATTAAAAAACATGCACCCAAACTAGCCATCTGCTAGGGATTTGTATGTGCTTTCATGGTTTTTTTTTAGTCTATTTGCTATACCAGAGGGAATACTGGAGCTCATGATGACTTCCAGCAACCTTTAACATTCAAACAACTTTACTTCTAGATTGCAGATTTCACTAGAGAATGAGTGCTTATTCAAACAAAAATAAGTTGGGTTTGTTAATGGCCTTCGAATTTAGGTTTTGGCCATCAGAAAGTCCTCCACAGAGCAGACTTACAATACAAAATTTCAGGTTCCTTTACATTATTGACAAATAACAAAAAGATTGGAAAACCTAAGGAAAACTTACAGGAATAGGGATTCTTCTGTCATGGAAAGCAACATCAGATACAAGAAACACATCACTAATGCATGCTCCTTTGACCTGGAAGTCTCCATCAATCAGCTTTTGATCGAAATTTAAAACAAAGTGCATAATTTTATTTCAGATTAATATTCAAAATGGCTGTCAGCATTTTAATGCTTTTATTAAAGGAGGGTGCACTCTTTTCAATACTAGCAACTAATCATACTAGCAACTAATCAAATTAGCAGGCTACAAGAACAGGCACAATAAAAAAGAATGAACCTTGCTGAAGTGGAAGAAAAAATGATCTTAACAGTGGAAAAATGAATGAAAATCAAATACAAAAAGACCAGTAACATTTTGAAAATAATTAAATTTGCAGTTCAAACAAGAAAGGGAAGGGCATACCTTAAAGCCACCTGCAGTGCCTGCATTGATAATCAAGTCTGGCTGTAATGCTTGGATAGCAGCATAGGTCACAAGAGATGCAGAAATTGTGCCTACACTATCAACCCCTGAAAATACATGGTTTAAGAAATATTGGAATGATTACACCATAGGAACCTAGAGATAAAAGAACATCTATTCCTTGACACCCCCATTAGTTATTGTATGGCAATGGGGAGCTAGATTGAAGGCATATCCCATATCCATGTGCAAAACAAGTGAATCCAAGAATAACATCAAGTACGTCCTGGAAAGTGCAAATTTGACGGGGGTGGGAGTTTATAGTTTTAAGGAATTTACATAAAAGCATGAATATAAACTTTCAAAACGTGAATATTTGATAAGCACAGTACTCTGGTATTATGATCATGCAACTAGGGCAGAACTGATGCTTCAAACATAATTTGAAAAGAAAATGATAAAGAAAACAACTCCCAAGAGCATAAAAAATTACCCAGAGTCAAATCCTTTCCAGGCCATACTAAGTTGATATGGAGGTCTTTGTAGATGCCATGATATCTGACCCAAGGAACCCCTTTTGGAAACCTGAACCATCATTCTTTGGCATATTAAGACTTGACGGCAGCCACATGTATCATACGGTATTCAAAATTCCAAATAGATAAAAAAAGCTCATCACATTTTCAGAAACTTAACCACCCAATAAAAATCCCTTCATCTCCATGAATATCACTTCTATCAGAATAAGCACAAAGCACAAGGCCACAGCATACAAACGATGAAAAAATAGTCGCTCCCAGCATCTACCTTTCTCCAGTAAATAAAGTTCCGAAAGCAAACTTGTAAGTTCAACTAACAATCAAACTTAAAATAAAAACCTTCAAGCCAAAAACTGAAAAAAGAAGGCCAAAATAATGACCCCACACAATTAAAAAAGAGCCCTTTATTGTAATTTAAAAAAGAGCCAAACTTCATTCAGCCAATAAAATATGAATTACCCATATCACTTGGAAAAAAAAAAGGAAAAGGTTAAAACATTCAGTGTTTGATACATTGATATTCAACAAAAATACTCCTTGATCTGGTAATCTATCATATACCACCATAACTGACCGTGCTTGATTCTTTTTAAAAACAATCAAACTCAAAAATATTGAAACTTGCGCAGGAAAACAACAGCAAGAAAGATCTTTTAGCTATCTCATTATCCTCAAACATATATAAACACAAAAAAGATCGCAACTTCATCACACATTGAAATGAACAGAACAGACCTATCTTTACAATCAATCACCACAACCCACAAGAAAATCAAACATGCCAAAAGCCCATTTACAACATAATTAAACAATCAAAGAAAATATCAACTCACACAGGATCAAGGTCTTCTTTGAGCTGGAATTTGTTAACAACAGGCATGGCTTCTGTTTGCATTGCTATTGAAGACACAAACACAAGTAAACACATGAATAAATAGCAACCCAGATAGATAAAAAATACAAGACTGAGAAAGAGCGTAAAGTACCGATAACGAAGAGGATGGAGGAAATGGGTTTGCGATTCTCATCTTGAACAACCAGGGCTTCCTCTGATCCCTCACCGTGAGGAGCCATAGCTGCCTGATTGGTGGGTGTCTCTGTGCGAAATGAACAAAACGGAAGTTATAATTAGATTTTGAGAAAGAGACAACAGTGCTTGTTTACTTACTAGTCGTTTTATAGGAGAATCGAACACCAAACTTTACAGAGAACCTACGAGGAAAAGTGCCCACCGATAAATATCCCCTAGTGCCTTTATTTGGTGTATTATATAATGCGGTGAGATTGTTATTTTTTTTTTTCTGAAAAAATATTAAAATCTTTTTTTAAAATTTTTTGTATGGACATATTAAAATTATTAAGAAAAAATCACTGAAAAAATAAAAATTTAATATTTTATTAAAATAAATGCACCCAAATATAATTATAGACGTAAAAACAAATGGTGATAATAGCATGAACAAATCCACTTTGGTCTAATAATATATTTATTTTTGGAAAAAACCGGATTAATGTAATTTCTTTATCCATATTTAAGTATCATTTGGTATTTATTAAATTAAAATTTATATGATAGTATTTTGTTAAATGGTTTGATTGTTCATGAATTATTTTTGAAGAAAGAAATTAATTTTTTATATTAAATATACAAGCGCAGCGGCTCTTATTTTTTTTTTATTTTTTTATTTCAGCAATAAAAAGTGTTCTATTTTTTTTCAATTTATATTTTTGAATCAACAACTACAAATAAATATATATTCTTTATATTACTTGAATATTAAGAATAAAAACCCAGTTAAAAAATTTGTATTCGGAATGATAATTCAATTTTCATGCTGTATTAGCATGGTGTTGAATAATAATAATAATAAAGAATTTATAATATATTTTAAAATTTTAAAACTTGTTTTTAACATGAAAATAATAGTGATTAAAAAAATAATTAATAAGAGGTGAGAAGATAACCAATTATGTATGACCGTTCGAGAATATTATTTTTTTATGGATGATTTTTTAAAATATATTCAAAAGTAAAAAAATATTAAATTAATATTTTTTTAATATTTTAAAATTGTTTTGATTGTTGATATTAATTTATTTTTTTAAGAAAATTAATATATGAACAGAACCTTTGGTCTAAAATTCTGGCTTTGTTCATGACACATGTGGAATCAGTGTGCGTATCAGAAGAATCTTTTCAAGGGAGAAACTTTGGATGTTGGTTGTGCCATAATCATTACATGCTTGTGTGTCTGTAGCAGGCATTGAACATAGGAGCAGCCATTGACTCCAAACCACACAGTCACTTTATCTGGACAAGGTCACGCGGCTTTGTGTTTTCTTTCTAGAGTCCAAAATTATGGTGTTTTTGGGAAATCGTGCGTTCGTGCTTGAAGTCATGATGAGAGTCTTTCCAATTTTCTGAAGATTCGAGTAAATTGTTTATTTTGTGTCTGTCTTTTCAACTTAATTACAACTTAGACATTCATGTTTTTGGCTACTTTGGGAGCAGTCATCAGCCATGTATGTACGGACGTAGTCTGTCAGCACAAGCACACTCAATGATCGGACACTGAATTCTATGAATATAGAGTTCTCTTAATGGTCGTTGATTCACTTTGTAAATTTCAGTCTTAGCAAGCTGAAGTGCTGAACTTTCCTTTTCAAAAAGCTGTCTGGTGGAGCGAGCAAGGGGAAGAACCAGTCTGCAAAATTCATGTCTTTTCTCACCCTGTCCTAGACAAGATATTTTAAGTTAAATGCTTGTCTCAACTAGAAAAGGCATCTGTAGCTTTGAGTTGTACAGAATGAAAGGAACCTTGGACCTGTCAGGTAATCGGATTAAACGTTTAATGTTGATGATGCCTTTGGTTCCTTGTGTTACAAAATGACAAGAATGGACGGCAAATCACTAGAAAATCTTGCGATGAGAGATGGGGAATACTAAAAATGAAATCCAGAAACTGTGTTCATATTTTTCGAGGCAGGAAATAGACCTCCAATTCGTGCAAAATTGCAAGCTCCTTAAAAGTAATAAAAAAGCTCCCTAGCTAGCTCCTTGATGAACAAGAAGATTTTATTAGCAATCCAGCATCCAGTCCAAAATAAGTCAGTGCTCCTTACATTAACATATTCCTCGCATTACAATGAGTCACAGGTTGGGCGTAAGGACTCGTACTAATCCAGGAAAAGGTTAACAGTCCTGTGTTTGAGGATTGCAGGCATCTGCACAAGTTATTTTTCAAAGAAAACTAGCTAGTGATTTGAAAGTCAAATAGGTTAGGAGTAGGAGGAAAAGATAACGAGGGGTCTTTGTGCAGGAGCTACCGTTTGGTAGCGCTGGGAAAGTGTCTGGAAGTGGCATTGCGCACTCCTCGCCGCTGAAATATATTCTTCGAGGTAAGGCCCATCCATTTCTTAATGTGAACATGCCTGAGTCTTTTTCGAAGAGTATCTCTGTCGATACCGAGCCCAGTTGCCGCTGATCAGCTTGCGGGAGTTCATTATTGTAAGCCTGCAAACCCCAGAACAGGGCAACCTCATCTGCAAGGAAGCCAGTTATCACAGTATTCATGCAGTTCATTTAACTTAAGTTCATCCCATTTCTTACATTTTAACCACCCTTTAACTCCAAGTTAGTCCAGGAAACCATACCAAATTTACAATATCATTTAGATTATTGCAGCACATCAAATCTATGATTTCTGAGTTTAAGTCCAGAGGCTTATTTCAGCCCTAAGTAACTTTCCATTTACAGGCTTGAACCAGAAAGAGTGCAGCTTAGTTATATTGATTTTCCATACAAATTTTCTTCTAAATGATTTTCAAGTATTAAAGGGACTTTTAAGGGCAGTAACTACCTGCAAACCCAGCAGCGGGGAGCAGCGTGCTGTTGAAACTAAATGTAGTTGAATTCTGCTTGAAACCAGGATGCTGTACCAACACATTCCAGTCTAAGTAATTTTTCTTGTAGTTGTAGTTAGAGATTGTCATTTTCACTCTCCAGTGGTCCATATAATTGTTCTTCACATGCCAATGAACTCTGACTGGGCACATATGATCAGTGCATTGCACTATGTCTGCCTTCTCCACATCTGATAATGGGAAGGAATCAACTTCACTGCTATTCCATGGAGAGAGATGAGTTCTATAAAATGTAGGCTGACGATGAGCCGATAACTAGAAAGCTTCTAAAACGGGTCAGACGACTTGCTTTCATGATAAAATTCACTGGATTAATGAAAAATACCTTACGCATGAAACAGTACTTTTGTCTGCATCTCTGCATCCACAGCTGCAGTCAGGGCATGCTGTGACCTGAGGGTTATAGAATGTCGAAAGCGAGACACAACAACCAGGTGTTTTGTTAGCCAAAAAAGTTGAGTAAGTGCATGTTGATTTCCATGTTTCTGAAAAAAAAAAAAAAAGGAAATTACTAATAGTGTAAATAAAGACAACGCATCATTGAAGAAAAATGAATCCTCACGAGCATAGCATATTTCAAAAACAAAGACAAAAGTAAGATCTTTTCAAGGCAACTCCATAATACTGATTGCTGTCTATCTGCAGACATATAGCTATCAAGAACTACAGAACTATCTTTCCATCAACGTTTAACTTATGGAGAAGAAGCAATTTAGAAATGAACATTCTAATAGGTCTATATCAACAAATTATTCAGCCTTGCAAGTCTATGTTAAACCAGGCTAAATCTTGCAACCTAGTATTTGTGATTTTCTTTAAAAAGTAGTTTTGTTCCATCCGCTAGAGCTTGAAGAACTCCAAAAGGACCGGCATGTTCAGGTCCAATAAGTTGTTGTATCCCTGCAGAAATTTCTCTTTCTAACCACACAATTACTAGTATGCCTATCGTGATTCCCAATACAAGAGTGCTTACTGTAAACCTGAACTTGTCTTCTACCCCCAAAATCTGAAGAGACTGTGGGTGTCGTCTCCACTACCGGACCACAAGTGTAACCAGGACCTGGTGCCCATAATGTAAGATTTGCAGGTGGATAGACAGTAGAATTCCCATCCAAGTTGACAACTGTCATTTCAAAGGAGGAGAATGACCTCAGAGGATCAATGGCCCGGGCAGAAATAAGGCCACCACGGCAGCAATTCTCGGACATGTTCACTGGTGGAGCGTCTGGCATGAGATCAACAATGACAGGGTTTGGCATGCAAGAGTGAGCGCCTCGGTACTTCACTGATGAGCAATCCCCTTGCTTAGTGGCAAATGCACCAAACATTGACCAGATGATCTCCTCTTTGGTCCATAACCACCCTATATTCCAACCTGGTCTATCAACATGGCGATACTGATAGAAATTTTGTATAGTTACCCTTGCCTGCAAATTTTATCAGCCAGGAATATCAGGATTCTGATGTGGTAGCTCCCAGAAATTATTCTCAATTTACTAATTTTACAAGAAACAAAAATAAGGACAAGTTTAGGCAACTTCCTTAAACTTGGCTTTCTGACTAGCACAAACACATATTGATCGGAAGGCATTATGACATAAAACGGTTAAACCACTTAACCATTCCAACTGCTGAAAAAAACTCACAATTTTAAACTGGTTGGGTTCAGCTACAAGTATCCACTTAGACCATTAAGTTCGATTCTGAGCTAAGTTTTCTGTACACTATCAAGAGGTCAAGTCGAGTTGTTTTTATCCACTTCTTTCCCTTCCTGGATTCCACCAGTAAAATCTTGTAGCCGCTATATGATACAATCATGCAGATCCTTGGTACTACTTTTAATTTACTCTTTTCCTGCACCTTTTGCTCTCAGCTTCTGATCCTTGTTCTTGTGTCACTCAGAAAACAATGTACAAATTCTTATTTTTAGAATTCCAGACAAATTATTCACTTACTTGTTGCATATGATGTGATAAAATTAATAAAACAAAAGCTCGTCATGAATAAACATACTGACCGCATATCCATCACTTCTCCAATCATGGATATCGAAAGTAACTGTAATGTTTCCATTGGGATCCAAAGGGTCATAACAATCTGCATATAAGAGAAGAGGGGATAGTTATATATCATCAATAATCCATTAACTTTCTCCTGGAGAAAAATAAGAAAGGAGAAGTTCAATGCCTGAAAAAGTGCAGATAGAAAGTAACAACAATAACATCAACACAGATGGCCGTACATAAGAGATAATTATTTTCATCTGTTTGCGAGAGGATTCTGATGGATAATGGTGGATCAAAGTCGCTAAGACAGGGGGGAGAGATAGGGGTTCTTATAGTTGAATGAGACAGGGGTTCTTATAGTTGAATGAGACAATAAAGAGTCTTGAGGAACTGCATTAACAAGGGAAAACTGATCCAGTGCCATCTAAAGGGGAGTATACGGGTGGCAACAAACAACAAGCATTGAAAACATCAAACTATGTATATTCTAATTTAAACTGGCCAAAGTCTGTGGAGGAAAAATTTAAAGATTCTGCACTATGCTTATATAGGCTGCAGATCAACATGAACTTTTGGAAGATAATAGTTCTCTTGTATGGTGGCGAAACTTAAAAACCATCGTCATAAATTATAAAAAAATAGGTGTTCCTGTTACGAAGTACAATTATATTCAAACAAGGATTTGAAAACTCTAGCTTTTATCATGAATGCGGACCATTTGGACGACAAATTAAAATTCTGATGCCCAAGCAGCTGTATTCGTCGCAAATGTGGGATCAGAAAGATATTCTCGGTAATATTATCTCAATCTCCTTTCTTAGGTCGACTTCAATACTGCGCTTAATGACCTAGATATATAGGACGACATACCTAAAAAAACACTGTGTTGACAACCAGAAACAGCAGTTCGAAGCTGTGTCGTTCCATCGGTCTGTAACATCAAATGGTTCATTAGAGCACATGCTTCAGGGTTTCTCTCTAAAGCAGTGATGGAAGCTAGATTTCAGTGAAAAAAATTATGGCGTTTTGCCAATATTGCTAACAGCTCAACATGCGACACCCTTATTCAACCTGAAAATTAAAATAGTAGGCAACAAGAATTTCTCAAATCCGAAGCATAGTTCATGTATGAGAGTTCCTACTAGCTAGCTATCTAGTAAATTAATTTGTTGAAGTAGCAGGGATATTTTGTTTTGAGAAGTTAAACATTCAAAAATTTCTTGTTATTGTTATGTATTAATCTTATTTCATGGTTGTTGAAAAATAATATAAATTATATTTTAAATTTTCATGTAATAATTTAAGATATTGAGTTAAATTAATTCTTTAACATGATATTAAAATTTTAATGACCAAGTGGTTACAAGTTTGAATCTCATTATTTTTATTTATTTAATAAAAATTAAATATAAGTAGTGTGAATCTATACAAATTTCAAGGTCAAATGAATTTTATTTGTATTAGCTTAAGTTTATTTATTTAATAAAAATTAAATACAAGTAGTGTAAAACCATACAAATTGACTTTTACTTGTATTAGCTTAAACTTTTAATTTAAAATAGTTCTTTGACATGAAATAAAATTTTGATAACCAAACGGTTACTTAAAATAGTTCTTTGACATGAAATAAAATCTTGATAACTAAACGGTTACAAATTCAAATATTACCATTTTTATTTATTTAATAAAAATTAAGTATAAACTAATGTAAGTATATGAATAAAAATTAAGTATAAGATAATATAAGTATATATAAATTTCAAATTTAAATATATTAAAAAATAATATAAATTATATTTTAAAATCATATCTAATAATTTAAGATATTGAGTTAAATTAATTCTTTAACATGATATTAAAATTTTAATGACCAAGTGGTTACAAATTTGAATTTCATTATTTTTATTTATTTAATAAAAATTAAATATAAGTAGTGTGAATCTATACAAATTTCAAGGTCAAATGAATTTTATTTGTATTAGCTTAAGCTTTTAATTTAAAATAGTTCTTTGACATGAAATAAAATCTTGATAACTAAACGGTTACAAATTCAAATATTACCATTTTTATTTATTTAATAAAAATTAAGTATAAACTAATGTAAGTATATGTAAATTTCAAATTTAAATATATTAAAAAATAATATAAATTATATTTTGAAATTATATATATAATAACATAATTTTAGGTTAAATTATTCTATTTGGATACTAATTTAAGAAAGAAATCAGGAAACACCAGTGACCTATGGCCTAAACAATTGAAGAAAGAAATTCTCTTTCAATATCTTATGTGTTGTCATGCCGTCCAGATATATATATATATATTCGTTCACACACGCCACTTACCAGCCTTGTTCACCTACTAGTTATAACTAAGATTTTCGGTTGAAGAATTAAGAACTTCATCAGTTATTCGACACGGAGTGACTGTAACAACGTAAGACTTATCAGGCAGTTGAAAAAGGAGCAACCACCTGGTTTATCTGCATAAAATGAATCCACCACATATCTGGACTGCAAGTAACACTACGTACAATCATTTAACAGTGATGACCAGACAACTCCGAAAGTAGCAAAGGAAGAAAACGTTAGCGACTGATCTAACTAGTGAAGAAGACACACCTTCTTACATTTATGACCGGCTCGTGTACAGTAACATCAATAATAACAATAAAAGCCAACGGCATAGCTTAATCTGTCATTTGCAACAGTGCAAGGAATGCCGCCCCTACACGTGGTTGACCTTTCGTACCACACTTTTTACAAACAGAAATACCTAGGAAACAATTATGTTAGTAAATTCTGGTGAAATTTACTAAAGTATTTTTTCGAAACAGAAATACCTAGGAAACAATTATGTTTGTAAATTCAGGTGAAATTTACTAAAGTATTTTTTTTTTTTTTTTGTTTTTTTATATATCCATGATAATTTTTCATTGATATATACTAGAAGAATTATAATAAAAAATAATAATAATGTGTCTTTGTTATAGACAATATTACCAATAAAATAAACTCTTCATTAATATCTAATAATAAATTTCTCAATAATATTTAAGTTATGACATGATGAGCAACCCTATAGCCCCTTCTTTATTTCTTCTTCTTCTATTTTCATTTTTCTATAGAATTAGTAGCAACCCTTTTGTTTTATCACAAATCAAATTCTTATCATCGTAAATCCGACCACCCCAACACTCAGTCTATTAGCATTTTTATTTTGGTTTAATTGTTTGAGATTTAAAAAAATTATATTTGCTTGTAATTTGATGAAATTAATTTTGATTTTGTGACTTAGGTATTTTGTAATGAACTATATAATGGCTTATTTAATAGTTATGTTCATATTTTATCAATTTTATTTTTAAGTTGAAAATTTCAGTAAATGTAGAAGAATTTTATTTTTTCTAGAAAATTGATAATGACTGAAGGGTATTAGTAAAAAATAGATTGAATAAGTTTGAGTTAAATTAATATTAGCTAATTTATTTAGTTTATATAGTTAATTATTACATGTTGTCATTAATATTCTATATAGATATGATATAAATAATGAATGGTCATTCTTACATGTATCTAGTTCTAGTAACATGCATGAAGTTGTAGATGATAATAGTAATTCTTATAGACTTATCATTATGGATACGATAAGAATGAATTAAGGTTATGCAGGTAAATATTCAATTGTAGATGAAGAATTAAACATAGGCATGACCAAGTTTTTTTTATCTTTTGGAAGACTTAAACAAACCATTATGGAATGGGCACACAAATTACATTAAATTATTGATCGTTGCACAAATATTCACCATCAAGTCATATTATGAGCTAAGTGAGACTAGTTATGATAGAATTGTTGAATGAATAAGAATCATTTTACTTGAAAAAAATAGGCTATAAAAGAATTTATATGTCGTTAAATCCATGATGAAACCTCCTTAGCTTAAGATATTAGAAAATTAACATGTGTCTAAATTTTAACATATTGTACTGCCCTGAAAATACATATTTGACTGAGTACAAAACCCTTGGGCATGCTCGCTATAAATCTAGAACTGGTAGTGAAAGAACTCATGTGGAGTATAAAAAATTTAAATAATTCCCAATAACTCTTAGACTGTAATTTTTTTTTATATCTCAAAAGACTGTTGAACACATGACATGGCATCATTCATATGATATGGTGATTCATATGATATGGTGATTCAAGTGGCATCATTTATATGATATGGTGGTTAAAGTCATGGTGTACCCTTTCGATGGTAAAAGCTGAAAACATTTCAATGGAATGCATTCTTAATTTTTAATGGTATCGTGTAATGTACATCTTGAGTTATGTACAAATATATTTAATCCACTCAAGTCATTTACTGCTTCTTATTCTTATTGGTTGGAGATACTTATAGTCTACAACTTGTCATAGGGAATGTGTATGAGGCTAAACTTCATGTTTTTATCTACAATCACACCCGGTCCTAGTAGTCTAAGCAAAAATGTAAATGATTGTCTTCGATAATTGATTAATGAGTTGAAGTAGTTGTAGTCATCTAGGACTTTGACCTGTGATGTCTTTAGAAAACAAAATTTTTAGATTAAGACATGTGGATTATCAATGATTTTTTTTAGATGGTTTCTGGTTGGAACACATATAAAAAATTAACATGTTCATACTCTGTGGAAAATAACAAAGCCTTTCACCTTAAGAAATGGTGGTAAAATATTTTTTTTTATTGCTATTGATGATTTTTTACAACTAATCACAAGTTCAGAAAGAACATAAATGATTTTTTTTATCGGTGGAGTTTAAAAAGATGTTGCACTATCAATACTATCGAATGAAGAATTATATAATATAATATCACAATATAATAATATTGTGTTTGATTTTTAATTAAATAAGTAGAAATATCTTGATTTTGATATAAACCAATGGAAATTGAAAACATTCAAAAGGCCTGAAGATATTTGATCCATGGATAGTAGAAATGACATGATTAAAAGATTGATGTCTTCTTCTCAGTATAGGAGTGTCGAAGTAATAAATAATCCGGCAATACCGAAGTCGGATTATAGGGAGGTTTACTATAATAATAATAAGAAGAAGTTAAAAAGAACTTTGAGATGTAAGATTAATGTGAGGATTAAACAAATATCAAGATTAGAGAATCCACTAATGATATTTCAAACAAGTATAGTATAAATTTTTTTTACTACTCAACTGGAAACTACACACAAAGAAGTTTCCAATCAAATTATAAATTGTTAACATGATTATATTAGTTATCTTATTCGAATAATGCTAATACTTATAATATTGTCAGGTATTCATGATTATAACTTACGTTAACAACAAATCAAGTTCCTTTTATAGCACAGATATAGATTATACCATACGGTTGGGCTATGAAAGTGCCAAGTATTTGTTGTGCCAAGTATTTGTTGTACCATATACAACATATATCTAGATTAATCATTTAACAAGCAAATTATTAAAAGAGAACAATATAACAAATACAAAACATATTAGTTTCAAACATTAAAGTCCATATTAAGTTTATACAATACTTATTCTTGCATATTAGTTTAACCTTTTCACCTTGATATAATAAATTTAACTAAACATAATGAAGAAGATAAACATAAATAAACAAGATAAAAACATAGATAAGATATAAGTTAACTAAGTTAAGGAAATGAATTAAAAGACATAAACAAGAGGTTAATAAAAGCAAAACTTAAATATTACAAAAATATAAAGAAAGAGAACAAGAAGATGATCTTGATTTGAAAATTAAGATGTTAAATGCATGGCAAATGCCTCCTTTTATAGGCTGAAATCTGGAACTATTGATTTAATGACTAATTATTTAGTGGGCATATTGATTTAATGACTAATTATTGAGTGGGCAACCACATCTTGACTTGGTGATAATCTTTATCTTCTTGTCTA